TAGTTTCTGTTTATTTTGTATCGAGGTTGTATTTCCTAAATAAATGTATATACAAATTAATTGTGATGTAGTTTGCATAACATAATATCATGCCTTTTATCCCCAAAAGGGTAGGCAGAGGTGCACATTACGGCACTTAATGCCACTGTACAATGTAACACCCACTTTTTACTATTTGTGTTAATACCGGGCACAATAATAAACTCCGTGCTACGGCTGAGTTTTCTTAAAAAACCCAATAATATTTTGCCCGACCTGGGAATCGAACGCGAGACCCTTTGCCCGGCAGGTACGAACACTCGGCCAACGAGGCAGTCTGTGTTTTAGTTTTAAAGTAAAATAATTACTATTGTTGTTATTTGATTATCGAATCTAAGATGTAGGTAACACCAACCTATCAGCACTCGTTCCTACAAACTCTGGATATTATTCTAGTTAATATACGTATCACTCAACTTTTCTAAATTTAAAGGAAAAACTTAACTTTTAGGGAGGGAAAAATCATCGAATGACTGCTCCCGCCTGGGTGAAGCGGGAGGGAGTGTCAGACTCTTACTGACTAAAAACCACCCCGTTCCTTCTCCTGCACGACGAACCGGTGCCCCGGTAACCCGGTAACCTAAAATACGCGACACTTAGCGATAGTTTCGTTTTCATCAACAGATAAAAAGTAACACCTATAGTGCTTTCTTACGATACGTAACTCTTAAGAAATTGTTTAAAGGTGTTTAATGATAACGAGCATAAAGTAATTAATAACTACCAGATCCCTTCCACCCACTTCAAGTAGGTAATAAATGTTCTACGTTCCGAACAATCAGTTTCCAACTTCCCAATAGAAATTTCACACTACAATCGGGTTTCCAGCCCACAATACGGTACCAATTTGTTATTATTTACTCAGTTGGAATACCCAATATCGTGATAACGAGGCCATTCACCCCACACTGAGCCGAGGGTTGAAAACCGCGGAATTGGCAGAGCAAAGCGGCTGTTACTGCAAATTAATCATTTAATAACCGTCCTAAATGTTATTATGTGATATTTATAAATAGAACTCGGAGTTGCTTATGAAATTTTCATTTTTCTTGGAATTTGCTTGATAAGATAAAAAAAGACACAATAATATTAAGTTGTAGGAAGCCATCTTATATACAGTGGGCTGTTGGTGGTGATAATACATAAATACATACATAACTTCATGCCTGTCTCCCATGGGGGTAGGCAGAGACTAGGGCACGCCAATTACTACGATTCCTACATACCTCTTTCGCTTTATAGGCATCAATGTTTTCATGCATACTTGTCGGTTAACTTTTAATTTGGCCCTTCTTTAATTTATCGCAAATCTGGTGATAATAATACTGAATAATGAAACTAAGATTACAAATGCTAAAGTTTCTTTGTTTCGATGTTTGTCCATCGATCACTCTGATACTACTGAACGAATTTTGATGAAATTTGGCATACCGACGTTTAATTGGGCTCCCATGAGATGAAACAGGAATATGCGGTCAAAGCTGCGGGTAAAAGCTAGTAAGTGATAAATCTACGATCTTCATGTCATTTTAGTAGTAGTTATAGTGTAATCTACATGAATAATGTATATAAGGAAAGTAGGTCTCTTGCTAAAAAAATGAAACTGTATAATATTTCAAGTAAACGTTTGTAACGGTTGAATAATTTTAACTTTTTTAAAACTATAATTTAAGCTGAAGCTCTATAATGATCAATTCAAAGTGAAAAAAAGATTAACAGTTATTATCCAGTTGGAAAAAACTAGATTTTTTGATACAGTCTAGCAAAAAGTCTACTTTAGTTAGAGAGTTATCTTCTCAGTTGTTTTTCAGTCTAGTTTAGCATATTTGACCTTGAATTTCTTTTACGTAGACAGGTCTAAAAGTTTGTAGTTCTTTATATAGGTAACTGTGCCAAATGAGGGTCGATTTGCGAAAAAATCTCGATCTATACAAATCGAATGAACTCGGTGAAGGAAAGCAATCATTTGTCACAACTAGGTACGCTTTCATTTTGTTCCAATCAAAATTTTCCAGGTCAGCATGAAAAAACATGGCGACTGGGCACATTTTTGGGGTTCCTTATTTTAAAGGGAGTTTTGGTTTTACTGTTTGTACATATTTTGCTCTCTATGTTTCTATATATTTGTCTGACAGTTTTTTTAAGTAAGAATTTAAATTATGGCAATAGGTTCAGGCCCCCAATTACATGGGACTCGTAACATAAATAGTGAAGAGTGGGTTTCACATTGAACAGTAGCATAATGTGCCGTATTGTGCACATCTGCCTACCCCTTCGACGATAAAAGGCCTGATATTATGTTATGGTATGTTCACATTATAAAACAAAAATGTTCACGTTTATGTTCCTTTGAAGATAAGAAGCTTGTCAATCAAACCAGTCGAATATCTGTAGTCTATAATTGCTGAACTTACATCATATACATTGGGAATGCAAATAGAATTGTACTTCACAGTAAAAGGGAAAAAATGCAAATTGTAATTGATATCCCTCCGACCTAAGAGGCAGACAACGCAATTGCAACTCCTATGGTATAAAATGTGTCTATGAGCGGCGCGAAACTTAACATCCGAGTTTTAACGTCCGAATCCAACTCGCACTTGACCCTTTTCAATCAGCCATTCTAATACAGCGTCCGATAACAAGGTCAAATCAAATTAACGCCGAGATTTCTAACAAACTTAAGATTAAATGTTCAAATCTTTAATAACATGTAATGATCTTAATTAAATTTTGTCGCTTATAGGTCATTCCCTTTAAAGTGTCTTGAACTTTGCAAACGATTTTGATTTATAGACTTTGTGGAGCAGGTAATAGGGATTAAGTTTAATAATACGGTAGAGTAGGTTTACAGTCCGCCCACGCGTCGTAAATTTTTTGGGCTGTTTGTTGTGTGGTATAAAGGATGTAGAAACAAATTGAGTAAGATACGTATTATCTGAAGACTTTTTATCAACAGTTTATCGTTTAATGTGAAGATAAATTTCCTTAGTTTTCATAGTTAGGCACTCTCCATCTATACAGATAAGAAAATAAAAGGTGTTTCAATCTAAAGACCGGCGAATAGTTATAGACACGATATGGCTTGGTTAAAAACTATTATAATAGAGTATAGGTAATAATTATTTCTGTTCTTGTTAATCAATCTTTATTTTCTTACCTACATAGTAAATAGCTATGCAGACTACATTCGAAATATGTGGTTTTAATCATATTTTATTCGCTAAGGGTAATTATTAGCCCGAAGGATCAGTAAGCTGAAGTGGCAGTGGGCCGGTCACATTTGTCGAAAAACTGATAACCGTTGGGGTAAACGTGTTCTAGAGTGGAGACCGCGTCTAGGCAAACGTAGTGTAGGGCGTCCTCCAGCTAGGTGGAGTGACGACATCCGCAAGGTGACTGGCAGTGGTTGGATGAGAAGAGCTGAAGACCGAGCTCAGTGGCGTGCCATTGCAGAGGCCTATGTCCAGCAGTGGACGAATACAGGCTGATGATGATGATGATGATGATGAATTATTACACCAATGATTGTATTTTATTTATTCATTATTTCAACTTAATACAACAATTGTGTACACTGTACAAGTGGACTTAATGCCTTGGGCATTGTCTCCCAGTCAATCTTTAAGTAGTGCAGAGATGAAAGTAGCAGGTGATCTCAGCAGGCATTTAGAAGATTATTCAATTACGATATCATACCTGATTGGTTTATAAGATGTGAGCGGTAATAAAATTGAATACGTGCTTACATCCGCCTAAAAGGGGTAAAGTAAGAATCCTTCGATTGACGCCTTTACATGACAAATGGATCGCTCAGCTTTAAACCCCCTCCTCAGGTGTCAATAAGGACGAATTTCGTTTGGCACTCAAAATTAATTGCTTCATATTATTATATTTGATTAACCAGCCATTTGTATGGGTAGCATGAAAATTAATTAATTTATTGGCGAAGAGCACGTGTGGGAAATGTCAGAGGAATTAATGTCCAAAATTGATTGGCGCTTGTGTGTTTTTTGGGACTTATTATGTAGGGTACATTTATATTGTTGTTGTAGGAAAATGTACCTTAATGTTTTGAAACGAAAGTTCTTTAAAACCTCTTCTAACATGAAAATGTTAACAAATCTTATGAAAAGAGAGGTTATACATATTTAGGGATTTGTTATGTCATTTAATATTAAAAAAATAAGTCTTTTATTCGGTATCAACCCCAGACACTCAAATCAATCGGACGATAAAAGTTTTAAAACCTCGATAATGACGTTTTATTATTATACCACAAAAAAAAAATTTTTTTTTTTATATTTAAGACCGAACCCACGTATTACAATTTACACTTCTTTGCCAGAGTCTGTATTTCCTGAAGGGTACAACCTGGGAGTCTTCAAGGCCCGAGTGAATAGGTTGCTTATGGGACGACGTGCTGCATCGTAGACCGCATCATCGCTTACCACCAGGCGAGATAGTGGTCAAACGTCGCCCCATCAAATATATATATATAAAAAAAAAGAATTATAAATTACCCACTTGTGAAAAGCTTCCGTGATTTTATTAAAAACTGAAAATAGATTTCTTTTCGGCTACAATTTCACAATTATCCATATTTGATACTATTTCTGACTTTTTTAATCTTATCAGAGAACTCATTACACTTTGAATGTTAAATACTCACAGCTCGGAGTCGCGGAGAATCTAACGGGTTACCGGGGCTCCGGCTCGACGTGCAGGAGAAGGAACGGGGTGGTTTTTAGTCAGTAAGAGTCTGACACTCCCTCCCGCCTCACCCAGACGGGAGCAGTCATTCGATGATTTTCCCCACTTAAAAAAAATACTCACAGCATTTAACATTTATTTAACATTCTAATTATTGTAGTTGAACGTAAAAAGCATACAGCACTCTTCAATTCTTTATCATTACAAAAATCTTCTTCTATCATGCTTTATCTTCTTCTCTTTTTCAGATATTCGAAGCTCGTGATCTCCCCATCAAGGACGTGACGGGCAGCAGTGACCCTTACATCAAGGTCTTCCTACTCCCTGACCGCAAGAAGAAGTTCCAGACCAAGGTTCATCGCAAGAACTTGAACCCTGTGTTCAATGAGACTTTCTTGTTCAGGTAAGAAAATAATATTGAAGTCATTGGAATTGTTACTGTAAGTGACAGAAGTGAAAGTCGGTTTTTTAATGTGATGGTTTCAAGTAATAAAATAGTAACTGAACAATTAATTTTGCTACATTTTCACTAGGTATTAAGAATAAATATTTTTGTAACATGATTATGTGACGTAATGCAGGAAATATAAGTTTCATATTTAAGTGCAGCTTATCTCGGTAGCTTATTTTGCACACCTTTTAATCCATTAACAAACAACATTTCAATCTCTTTAAATAAACTAAACAATGAAGTAACTGATAAACACAAAGAAACATAAACTAATTCTAATCAAGTTTGCAAGGATCAATTTTAATGCCCATCAATATCACCAAGTTATCAAGGACAGTGTCATCTTAAAATTCTATTTCGACTTTAATCCGTCGTTCCGATCCATCCCTTGCGACTTGGCCGCAGAATTTTGCCAAAATTTCGACAAAATATTAGTTTTATAAAGTGCCACCTGACTCCTCAAGTTACAGTCAGGTAATTGAGTTTACAGTTAGTTTTCATCTTGACGTTAATTGTAGGCTCCGCTTTATAAGTATCATCCGAGTTCCCGGAATAGAAAGTTTGGATAATAAATTTAGATAAGGCTAAGCGATAACAGGTTGGTGGTGTTAAGCTGGAGATGTATCATAAATGATTATTACATTTTGTATTTTTTTTTTATTATTATTATGTTTATTTGTATAAATACTTATACTGTATATATATATATATATAAAAAATTATACATTTTGTATAATTACTGTTATGAGACATAGTAAATTTATTATATAATGCGGTTTACTCACGTAACTCACTTACGGAAGGTGCTCGACTAAATTCAAGCTAAAAACAGGGCTTATAATTATGAGCAGAATGCATGGTGATGTTGTGCACTTAATAGTTTTGTGATTACAGTGCTATTAATTTTGGTTTAGTGACAGTAAATCTATTAAATATTTAGCCGATGATATTCTAGACGAATGTTCCAACTTAAACGTTTATCAACATTATCAGTAAATTAATGATCCCTCTGGGCTCATTAGGTACTAGTACCCTTTCTCGTTGGTTTATAACGCCTTCTACACGGAACTGAACTTGAAATTGTTCTTAAAATAATTTTACAAAAGCAGTTAGCAGTCACCAGTATCTCAATTCTTCAGAGGTTTAATTTGAGAAAAAAGGTACCGATGTGATTACATGGACCTGTTAAACAGAAAAAACTTTTTTTGCGCCTAAAGTACTCTGAAATGTTCCACGTTAAATTGACTTGAAAGTTTTGCCATAAAACTCTCAGAGGCTTCTACAAACTTTGCCAAATCTTCATAATTACATCCGAACGGAGGTTGACAACCTGTGTGGGTTGGATGAGAAAAATGCCTAATTTGTATGCAGAACAAATAAATTGACAAACTTTTTGGAACTTTTCATTCAGAGGTCAAAGACCTCACCTGGAGAAATGGGGTTGACAATCAGAAGTTTCTGCGAATGGGAACATTTGGGTCAGGTGTCAAGTTCGAATTAATGTTTCGTCTAGTAGTTGAACAAGAATGAATCTTAAAATGGAAGATTCAGGTTTCATTTTATGCTTTTGACAATTCGTCATTTTGTGGTTTACCTCTACAATTTTGCAAAAGACGGATATGATGTCCACTTACTCTTTTGCGATAAACAATCATGTGTACAGACACGTATAGTGTAGGATCAAGGCTATTATGAGTCTGATAATAAGTTGGTAACTCTTCTTTATTATCTTCTCTGTCATCTCCGTTTAACGTTAGGTAAATTAATTTTGTAAATACCTAAAATACTAAAATTTAATGTAGACTTCGCAATAAAGTTCTTCTTTTGAATTGCAATGACAAACGTCTTTTATAACACAAATCTTTGGACTTTCTGTCATATTGAAATGTTTTGTAAAATATTGAAGTCGAGATAAACGGACTACCTTGAATGATTTGTATAAAATGTGTGTCTGTGAGTTATTGTAGAATATTATCGATTTGACTTAAGAATCAATTTGTCTCGAACGACTTTTCATCTTCTTCAATCGTTGTGTTAAAGTTGCCCTCATTAAATGGTTCACAGGTAGACTTTTAATTTGGAACAAGGACCCGGATTATATTACATTAGGTAAAAGAATTAATAACGAGAAAATTCCAAAACAGGAAAATTTATAAATTATATTTTATGTTGCCCGCGACTTCTTCCGCGTAGAATATGATTCCTATTTTATCCCATGCAACCATTTAATCGGTATACAAACTTCTATCACCTAAGTCAGCTCATACTCTGATTGTATACCAAATTTCATAAAAATCTGTTCAGTAGTTTCAACGTGGTTGACGGACAAACATCCAAACAAAGAAACTTTCACATTTATAATATTAGATAGTGTGATCTCTTCTTTCTCTTCTTCATTTTTCATAATTGCTTAACTTGCGTAAGGTTATAAAAATGTATGTCTTCTTGAGATAATTACGTATCTGTCTTGTCTACCTTTCCGCACACAGAAATAGATATTTTGTTTTGTATTCATTACTAGAAAGACTGTTACCTTCTGTTCAAACACTAAGTTATTCAGGACAAGAAGATAAATTTCAATACTGCCTAAACCCTAAACAATTTGCCTAAATCCTTTTCCAATTCGAATACTGTCCTCGGGAGTCAGGGCCTTGAATTTACAACCTGTGGTTTGGAGAAATTTGGACATTTTTTAATTATTTCTTGAATTGTTGGCTTCTAACATATTTTTGGAATTATCTGATTTTAAGTGCCGAGTGGTCGTAAGTGCGACTGCTGGGTAAGGGCTCTCGGGTTCGATTCCCGGGTCGGATAAGTATTACTGGGAGTGAAACAGGGGTAGATTATTGTCTGGAATAACACGAAGGCTACTTTTTATCCCACGAAATCGTAGGCGCAACAAGAAGCTAGTATCATGTTATTATAATAACTTTCGTGAGATATACTAAGTGAATTAAAATCGCGAGTTACTAAAACGAATATATTGAGTAAAGCTCTACTAGTTTCAATTCACAGAGGACCTCTTCCTCATGAGTACCGCGGTCGCTCGAAACTTGTAGAGCTTTTCTCAGCATATTCACGTGAGTAGTAGTATCGTACTGCCTTGTTGGCTGACTGGTCGCAAGTGCGACTGCCGGGCAAGGGGTCTCGAGTTCGATTCCCGGGTCGGCCAAAGTATTACAGGGTCTTTAAAAAAATCTCAGTAGTAGCACAAAGTCTGGAATTATGTCCGGTATATGGCAATAGGCTCACCCCCTATTACATGGGACTCATAAAATAAACATCGAAAATTGAGTGTTACATTGTACCGTGGCATAATATACACCTCTGCCTACCCCTTCCGGGATAAAAGGCGTGATGTTATGTAGTAGTATCATATAAATATTTGCCCGATATGGGAATTGAACACTTTGAACGTCACATGGCAGTTATTTTTCCAACCATTGATATCTAACAGGAGAAATCGTACATTGACTTAGTTGTAAAAATGTTTGAAAGGCAAAATCTGAGATATTCGGTGATTGAACCGAGAGTCACATCAATCTTTGTTTGCCGATGCATTAAGGTATTAAATAAAAGAGTGTTGCTGAGTATCTGTCAAGACAGATATGTACTAAGTATTTTTGAGGTGGCATTAGGGTTATATTGAACCTAACGGGTTTTTTTTTTTTAAGGGGGGAAAATCATCGAATGACTGCTCTCGCCTGGGTGAGGCGGAAGGGAGTGTCAGACTCTTACTGACTAAAAACCACCCTGTACCTTCTCCTGCGCTTTGAGCCGGAGCCCCGGTAACCCGTTAGGTTAATTGTCGCGGAGAACCGCCTCTCTTCTCCTCTCTCTCTCTTCTCCTCCCGCTTCACCTAGGCGGGAGGAGAAATTCGATGATTTTCCTCCCTGACATATAACCTGACATATAAAAACCTTATATTGTATTGTGTAGATAGATGAAGTTTGTGTTCACTCTGGCAAAAAAGAAACTGATTTATTTTGTGGTTTTATGTGTGATCTCTTTATGTTTAATGTATTTAAGAGAGTCTGTAAATAAGAGTTTCTTGAAACAATGACTGTGACACCTAGTTACTATAGATTTACAATCCGACCATACACACATTGACTCGAAAGACATCTCTCATATTCTTAAGTCTGGTAACGTGGTAACACACGCCGATTCATAGTCGCGGAGAATCTAACGGGTAACCGGGGCTCCGACTCGACCTGCAGGAGAAGGGACGGGGTGGTTTTTAGTCAGTAAGAGTCTGACACTCCCTCCCGCCTCACCCAGGCGGGAGCAGCCATTCGATGATTTTCCCCTCTTAAAAAAAAACCCATTACACACGCACACATAAATTGTCATTTTGGTGCTTCAATAATTTCTAAGTGACATTATGTCCGCCTTTTTTTCAGCGTGTTTAGTGTATTAGATCAAACTTTTCTTAGACCCGAGTAATAGAACTACAGACGTTTTTATTAGGCGGTCTCAGATACGAGTTTTCATAATTTCTTGCGACAATAAGGACCGTACATTCTTTTCGTTAATAAGTAATTTAATTAACACAAAATAAAAGTTTATTGCTTAGGTACAGCTCAGATTTATATAAATAGATAGAAGAAGATACTTAAAACTTTTATTACCATATGGCTAACAAAAAATGTAGATTAACACTTGAAAAATGATTTCGATGCTGTTCTGATCATAAAAATTCAACGCATGCAGTCTTTAGGGTCCATTTCGATCAGTCGCATTCAAGTGCTTTCCTCTCACTTCAAGTATCAATTTCTTCAATACTCTTGAGACGTAGTGCACTCTTAGAAACAACATTTTGTAGTACTAAGAATTTTCTATATTTTGAGTATTGGTAATAAATCTTCAGACCCTTCATTGATCAACAACCAAAAATTTAATGTTCGTTTTGGTAGAACAGAGGTTAAGTTTTATTGGATCTTTGACTTAGGAAAGTTCAGTTTTGGGTTGTGTCCAGTTATAGGAATGAATTATATATTTTTTGTACCACGACGGCGGCAAGAAAAGCACACGGCCCACCTGATGGTAAGGGATAACCGTGGCCTATGAACGCTTGCAACACATGGGGCATTACATGCGCTTTGCCAAGTCTTTTTGTCCAAATTTGCTAAAGGACCAAATTATATCAATCATGGTGGTATCAAATGTTATATCGAAAGGAAAGTTCATATAAATGTGTATTCCTCTTTGAAAACAACAATAACAAACTAACACTAAGTTACTTAATCCATTTTTCTTGTCAATCTAACCCATTTTTCTTTTCACAGCGTTCCATACGAAGAGCTTCGTCAGCGCTACATCCAGTTTTCAGTGTATGACTTCGATCGCTTCAGCCGACATGATCTGATCGGTCACGTTGTCCTCAAGGGTCTGCTGGAGTCTGCTGACCTTCACCAGGAGATTGAGTATACCATGAATATCCTGGCTGCTCCACAGGTAAGAAACAATAATAGTTTTGTGGTTGTGTATCATGAATACTGCTTTTGTCTAATTCTGTGGAACCTATTAAAAAAAGATATCGTGTCCTCTTTCTTTTGTTTTTGTTTTGACCCCATTAATCTATAGTTAAGATTAAAATCTAAAGTACAATATGATATATTAAACATTTTGAAGGCTGAGTCTTGAAATCTTGACATCTTAATTCTGACCAAAAAATCTTTGACTCAGCAATAAATCCCTTACCAAAAAAATCAATCAAAATGTTCTCACAATATTATGACATCTTAATAACTCGATATAATTAATCATGGTTGCAATATTCTTTCAATTAATTTGATTTACCCGTACACAAGGTTGAACATCGTTGTAGCCTTAGGCGAGGACCGAAGGACCAAACTCATTAATCATTGTCTATTTCTTACTGTGTTCGGTCCTTTTTGGTCCTTCGAGTTTCTGCTTAGTTCGTTGATTGGGTGGTCGCAAGCATGATTGCCAAGTCTCAAAATTGATTGCAGGTTGGTGTATTATTAGGTTTTTAGATGAACGTGTATGTTTTAATGGGCCCCATCGGCCATAACCTACAAAATAGAAGCAACTCGATACAAGCGCGAACGCCGAAACACTAAAGTCTGGTACGAGGCAGTAAAAAAGAAACAATTACTAATTAAAAACCACTGTCTTGTTATACAGCAATAGGCTGACGTCCTACTCAAAACCACTCAAAACCATAAAGGGTATAACTCACAGTCACTTTTACCCTTCCAGAATAAAAGCCATGTCACCGCGTTCTGATCCTTTGAATCGCGAAGGTTACATCTTTTATCTTACACCTTCCCAGGTGTGGTGTTGTGAATATAAAACAGGTGACCTAATTCCTCAAGGTTATTTTGATGGGACATTAAGATAATATAAGCTTCCGTGTTATTCAATATACAAGTTATGAGTATGTTCAATATTGTGGGTGTAGAAATTTACTGAAACGTTTTTCGTGTTGTCGTGAGGTGTAATTATTATTTTTATTGTAATTTTGACTTTATTGGGTTCTGTCTTGGGTGGTAATGATTGTATCTATTTGAATTTAATGTTGATACAGTAAAATGCTTTTGCTTCATGTTGTAGTGATATGTCTTATAATCGGTTTGGTTTGTGAATCATTTTTGTTTATTGTTTCGTTTTATTCCCTGTTATAAATCGAACACAAATACAATAACGAATAATGTAAAGATGCCTAAAATTCCTATAAATTATTATTTATGCGTGATATGTCATGGTAATGCGAAGGTTTAAGACGCTCGCTTCTCATAATAAGTTCTAATTATAAGTTTGAAATCGCCAACCCGCATTGAGCAAGCGTGGTGATTAACGCTCTAACCTTCTCCGTGTGAGAAGAGGCTTTGCTCAGCAGTGGGCATTTATAGGCTGTTGACGAAGACGCTCGCTTCTCATATATGAGGGCGCGGCTTCGATACCTACCAACGGCAAATACCAATGTGACATTTTCAGAGTTATGTACTTTCTTAGATTATTTAGTTACCACTGATTAACGGTGAAGGAAAATATAGTGAGGACCTGGGCTTATAATTACTAATTATAAGTTTGAAATTGCCAACTCGCATTGAGCAAGGGTGGCGATGAATGCTCAAACCTTCTCCGTGTGAGAAGAGGTCTTTAGTCAGCAGTCTATAGGCTGTTGATGATGATTATTATTATTTTTGAGATGCAACAAGAGAAAACCAATAAGAGATAATCATATACCTATTTCAATTAAAATTACAATTATTAACTGTGCAAAGTTTTATTATTTTAAAAACCTTTCAATGTAATCTAACTATTTAATAAAATTAATTACGATTGGATCAAGTCTGCCAGCTGCCATTTATTGACGAGTATTTAAGCCCTCGTAATGCACACACGTGATATTCAAAAGTAGATTTTATTACTATAATTAGTTAAGTCATAATTTCTAATAACTTTTCGAGCGAATCTCAATAAAACATATTTTTAGTTAAATTTCGAGCAATTTAACTTTAAAATTTTTGATTTTGCAATGCGTTTTGGAATTTATATTCCAGACGGTTTATTAAGTTTTTGAGTGATTTTAAATATACTCTAATATTTAACAAGCTTTAAATTGTCGGACAATTTTGTATTATTAAGTTCTTCTGCTTCATATTTTAGTGTCTAACCCTTTTTATTCTATGTACATGCATGATAGTAAGTCTAGACAAGGAATATTTCGGTCTGGAGAAAAGTCCTTTCATCACTATTGGTCACGCTCTATGGTCACGCTATATTATTATGTATTTCATAAACATCATGTCACATGACATTTCACTTCTATCACTCGGCCAACGAGGCAGTCAGTTAGTGAAAATCTCATTTTTTTTTATTTTGTTTTCTTTTTTATTTTTTTTTAAACGTTGCCCCCACATTAGGATTTTCTCCTGTGTCGTGGGTGCGTTTACAAACATACAAGTTCACATACACAATGACACCCAGACCAGAAACAACAATTTGTGGTTCACACAAAGTGTTGTTCCGTGCGGGTATCGAACCCGCGACACGTTACACGGCAGCCGGTTGTCCAGCCACCGCACCAACCGTGCAGTCAGTCAGCCAATCAAATGTATGTGTGAATATTATTTCATTCCATTATTTCTTTTTTAACTACAACAAAGTACAATAATCAAAATCATAAAGTTTAATGATAAAGCTTATTAGCTGCTTTAAAAAAGTAATAACTTAAATTGTTACTTTTTATTATTTTTCCTTTCTCTCTTTAAAAACCTGTGTTATTAGGACGGTGTACTAAAAACTTTTGAAAAAAGGTAAGATACTATTTAAAAGATTGATTTCAAATTTTTTTCTAGCACATTGTTCTTGATTTAATAATCTTCAATCGCTTTTACTTAAATTGAATAGTTTAAGTTTCATAATTTGTAAATATTGAACATTTATAAAAATATTTTAATATTTAAAAGTAAAAATATATTAAAAGTACCCTTAACCGACGAGCATGCATGAAAAGATTGATGACTGTTAATGAAGCGAAAGAGGTAGGTATGTAAGAATCGTAGTAATTGGCGTTCCTAAGTCTCTGCCTACCCCCATGGGAGACAGGCGTGAAGTTATGTATGTATAAAAATATTTTTTCACTTTCTCTCACAGAATCTTTGAAATGAATTCCTTTTAACCAAAACCGGGGTATACAATATACAGAGTCCTCGTACCCGTAATAAGGACAAACAATATATCATTGTATCGACAGGTTAATTATTATATTCCATCTGAGCAAGTAAAGGCGCTGAGACATTGAAACTAAGGGAAAATATTTTCTTGTCTACATAATATGATACATTTTGGTAACAGCTGCGTCTACGCTAGGAGAGCCGAGCACGAACGGAGCACGAGCCGAATACAATTTGACCGACTTACAAGCCTCGAACGAGCGCGCTGCGAGCAAGTCGTTCGTGCTCGGCTGCTCCCGCTTGTTGTCGGTTTTTAACGAACACAAAAGGATCTGCTTCGCGCTTACAGTGCTCACTGCGCTCACTCATTGCGGGAAACTACGTTCAAGGATAGTGATCGTTGTAGGTTCGCTGTACATCCTAACTTGACATCGCGAACGACGAATTCGAAAACGGCTAAGCTTGTGCTTCGCTCGTGGTCAGGTCGACTAGTGTAGACCCGCCTTTACAGATTTAATAACAGTAATATACATTCTTTGTATTTAAAGTCAACTTATTGTCATACTCTTAGCACGAATGTAAATTTTGACTGTCACTGAAAACTTTGAGATTTTAGTACTTTATTTTTCCGATTTGAAAATTGACCTTGAGACCTCTTTATACAGTCAAATTTTATCAGTAAAGTAAAATTTTTCGAGGCCACACAATAATTACAAAATAGACCATATTGAGACTTTTCTAGAACGTTGCTAACAAGCTACCAGTGTGCACACGCCTGTACGTTACGTTTCCTCTACCTAATTAAATTTACCGCGGAGTAATTTTTCTTCATAATATTGTTCTTTTATATAAAAGCTTTTTCTTGAGGTATATTTTTTGTTATAACCGTTTTGTTGTTGTAGTCCCTAACAAGACTGCTGCGCAAGAGGTTACATACTCAATTTTTGAGTCTGAAACGTATGTTTTTTTCAAAATTCTTCCGAGTCTCCCTAATCTTCCGTATAACATTAGATTAATACATTACATTACTGGAGGAAAAAAGGATGTTATATAAGATACATCTTGTGTACCTCAAAGGGTAGTTACATGGGTTTTCATTATGTTCTCATTGTTAGTGTAAACAGCGCAAGTGAAGAGTGTATCAGCGTTAGCAAGTTGCAGAGGAGACATAGTAATTCTTCTCATCTCTATCGTTTCGCTCTTGGCAGAGCGGTCGTGGTCACGTTGTGGCCGCCGTATTTGTGTTGGAGGCCAATACTGCTTTCTTCATGATTTCCCGCTATCTTTTCCTGTTTGTGCATTGTTTGACGCAGTTTTAGTTTTCTTTTGCCGATTTGACTTGATCAGTCCAGCACATAGGTGATCTGCCTCATGAACTGGTTCCCTCTACTTTCTCCTGAACGACCATGGAGACTATGGACTTGTTATCAAGCCCGGAAACATGGCCAAAGTACTGCAGAATGCGCGTCTGTACTATGATAGACAGACGTTTAGTGATGCCGATTTCATAGAAATAGAAATTGCTCCATGCATAATAATAACTTACAATAGAATCTGGCTAAGATTCAGCTACATATTACCTGGTTGGGTTATGTACAAACACCGGGAAACTTCACGTTAATATTTTTTGTTAACAGGAGAAGAAAGACCTTGGCGAGCTGATGCTCTCGCTGTGCTACCTGCCGACTGCGGGCCGACTGACTGTGACCGTCATCAAGGCTAGGAACCTGAAGGCTATGGACATCAATGGATCCTCAGGTGGGTGAAGATTAGAACCTAGGAGCAATTTGCATGAAATTTGTACCATGAAATGTATCATGCACTGAGAAAATAATTATATTCTATTATGTGAATGGAGAAGTATGAAAAGTATAGTTAGAAGTGCAAAGAAGGAGTGCTAAATCAATATATGTATGTTGGTTAAAGTATATAAAACTCTTTCCTTACTGACCGGCTGATATACAATGTTGAAACTGCTTAAAGTAGAATATTGACTAAAGAAAAAACAATTGATAATGGAATGGAATTTTTGTAAATATTTTCGGACCTAAGTTACTATGAAAAAAAAATGTGCATTACAAAAATCGAATACCGTATATATTTATTTAGTTAGTTAAGCAAACAAATCTTCTCGACCAATTTACAAAACTCTATTATATATATAACGAAAAATCTTACTTAATCTCAATAATCAAAGCTTATCTTAATTCTCCAAACGATACAACAATACAATATGTCCTGAATACATAAAAACTTCTCCTAACTTACAAACTCTTAATCGGGTTAGGGAGCATCCAATGCCTAACAATTAGGTCTTAGATAACGAGAATAGGCGAATCAATAACTAAGTAAACTTGCCCTAATTGTTTTATCGAATGCCAATACAATAGGGTATTATTATTTATTATCTATTTTCGGCCATGATTGTCCCACTCCTACTACTACCGGCTACTACTACTAGGGTAGTATACTTAATTATATTTTAATGTCCTGGTAGATTATTTTAAAACATTAGACACGTATTTCTACTTTTCTTACAAAATTAAATACTTTCGATGATATATTGATTTGAAATATCGTGTGACGTGACGATTTGCTACATTTTATAGGATAGCGTGATGTATCTACCTCCCACTCATAAACTTAACTCCTTTTATCTAAGTATTGTTTTCTTATACGACAAAATAAAAAAATATGTGTCTAATATTTTTTCAATATCTAATTGATGGACTAATTACATTTTTAATTTTCATACACTGTCCACTAACCTGTTGTGCTACTTAGCAAACTGGTGTAGGTAGCAAGCTAGATAACTTATGACTAGTAGTGGGCGGCGAATTTGAGTTTTCAGTTGACAATAAAGTTGCGAGTAAAATTAAATTGCTTTAAATGTTAATTTTGATGAATTTGTCACCTTTTTCTTGATTAGGTACCTACTAGTTATATGGTTCGTTAATTTTATTTTAGTTTCGAGTTTTATTGATACCTGTATAGTTGATTATAAATTGCCTGAGAATGGGTCTTTGCCAAAACTATTAATTGTGCACCAACCATGCGACTGCACGGTTTGCAAATTGTTGTTTCGGGTCTGGGTATCATGTGTATGTGAAGTTGTATGTTTGTAAACGCACCCACGATACAGGAGATGCTTCTAGAGTGGGGCAATTTATTTAAAAAAAAAGAAAAAAAAATGTTGTTCTAACTCAATTATAGAATGGATGACGCAGTTTTATTTAAAGAAAGTAATTAACCAAATTCGGATCACATATAAAATGTTACAAGATTGCTTTGTCGTTCCCAATAATTATTTCTTCTCAACCATCTTCTACTCCTCTTAGAAAACTCAAACCATCAACATACCAATACCAGAACTTATAATCTAATTCACAATTCAAAAGCCCAAAAACCCCACCCAATTCTTTTACGGGCAAATAAAACGAAAAAAGAAGCAACAGAAGTATATGTAGGGCAAAACAGCAATTTCGAAAACGTGTATCGGAAAACAATATCGGATGAATCCTAATGTACACGCGTAAACCCGGTGGGAATGTAAAGAATTTCAAACGTCCACTGATGAAGTTTCCAATAAGGTGAGAGTCTCAAAAATTTTTAGAGATGAAATTATTCATTGATTCATTACCTTACACCTGTCTCCCATGGAGGAGGTAGGCAGACTATGGCATGCCATATAGCGTGTCATAGCCGATTGTTTTAACAGTAACATGCGCAAAAGAGGTACTGCCTTGGTGCGCACGGTTCGGGCCAGCTCCAATACCGCTCTGGCAATGATAGCAAGTAGAGTGGACTGTCCCTACATACGTCATTGCTGTGAAAGACACAACCCGCAATGTCGGATGAAGAGATTATATTAACTTTATCTTTGATTTAATTTAATTTGATTTGTTTAATTTTAATTTTATTTTTATATAATTTCATTTCATTTTATGGTTATAATGACATGTCCGTATAAATTTCCTAAATAGAAGAATTGTATCTTTGCTTATTAATATATTTCACCTATCTGATTAACAATTATGATCACCTGAAATAAATGTATTTTATTTTATTTTATTTTTTTATTTATAGGCTGTGCGGTGTAAGGTAATGAAAGAATAAATAATTAGATCACCAAACATACATAGCCATTATCCGTGTGAGTGATGTTCACACGGGTACATAAGCGTGTGTGTGTGTGTGCATATATTGATAGTAGTCATTACGATGGCAGTTGACTTTAAAGTTTGGCTGTACAATTGTGTCGTACACAGTGAGCAGCAATCTGTTGCCACGCCTCTGTTACCAGTTACGTACAAAATCATGCAGATGACATGTCAATTAGTCAAACAAAATCACCATGCAATTAGGACCAACTTTATGAAGACAATTGAACCAATTAGAGTGATTTATCACTTTTAATACATAACCCATAATACATAACATCACGCCTTTTATTCTCGTGCACATTATGGCAATTAATGCCACTGTACAATGTAACACCCACTTTTCATTGTTTATGTTATGAGTCCCATGTAATAGGGAGTGAGCCTATTGTTATATATATACCGAGTACCAGTCCAATCGCCGTGCTACCACTGAGATTTTTTGTAAAAACCCAGTATTGTTGTGCCCGACCCGGAAATCGAATCCCAGATGCCTTGCCATCGCGAACAGTTACACTTGCGACCACTCGGCCAACGAGCCAGTGATTTATCACTTTTTTATTAATGAAACAATAATTAAGACAAAGTGGCTATTCATCATTGGTCTCAACTTTAAGACTTCCCAAAGTCTTGTCCAACTTTGGTGAAAGATATAAATAATTACTGAACAACTTTTCTGTTAGTCGTGATTGCTCTGTAAGCGAAATGAGACTTTAGGTTCTGAATCATTAAGTTGAAAGGCTTTTTATAAAGTCGCCATATTTGTTTTCAGGACACACACACGCCATTTTGGTGTAGCATTTGCTTTGTTCGTAGAATGTGGGTGTCAAGTAAGATGTTTTTGTCCCATTCATACGCAGATGTTTTTTTAACTATCGTGAGTATCAGAAGTGAGGTTACGGGAGACCTAATTGCCCCGAAGTCTCTATAATCCCCGAATCTCCTACAATGCTCAAATTCCCAAAAACCACAAATTCTGGAATGAGGACCAGTCTCTGCCAATAAGTTTACGTAGAATTTAGAATCGGTATACCTATATAGTCCTCGTCTCATTTTCGGTATAGAATTTGAGATAATAATATGATGTTCGACTGCTATTGTCGAAAATCAAATCTCATTTGTTTGTCTATAACCTGTAAATATTAGATTTTTGTAAATAATATCTAGAATCATAAAAATACTATTGAACATAATTATTTTACAAAACTACCGACTTCAACCCTTCTTTTTTCGAAGTCAATTAATTAATTAATATACAAAACCTTCTCTTAACAAACACTGTAACAAACACTTAGCTGAAAACGCATCAAAATTCATTCTACCAATGGCGAGATAACCGCGCGTACACATAGATACATATATATCTACAAATCAAATGGAGCATCTCTTTTTTTCGCGCCCGCTTCTTAAGCATGAGGGCGCGGGTTCTAAAACTACCAATGGCAAGCACCAATGTGACTTTTTCCGAGTTACATGTACTTTCTAAGAATATCTAGACACCACTGACAAACGGTGAAGGAAAACATCGTGAGGAAACCTGGGCTTATAATTTCTAATTATAAGTTTGTAATCGCCAACCCGCATTGAGCAAGCGTGGTGATTAATGCTCAAACCTTCTCTGTGTGAGAAGTGGTTTTGCTCAGCAGTGGCCATTTATAGGCTGTTGATGAATCCACCTACAAAGACAACGCAATACAATACAATTCTTCAACGACATTATTATTCTTTTGCAGCATTAAAACAGAAAATCCATATTGTACAACAGTATCCTGATTACCATTTCATGCAAATACAGAAAGCCAATTAGGGGAAATAAAACCTTGAAACAAAATTGTAATGACATATTTTTCTTTAACAAGCTTGTGGATGAGCTCAATGGCTTTTGAAAGAGAAGAGCTACTTTGAAAGGTTATAAAATGGATACAGTTGAATCATAATATTTATTTGTAAGCGTTAATCTTTTGATTTATGTTGTTTAAGAGGTTATTCTTTGCTCTTGATAGGGATGGTACATAGTATAGAAGTTTTTATGAAAGTCGTATTTTTAAAACTTGTATTTTTTGGGCCACGGAGACATTTATGTTCGTCAATGTACGTCTTGAGTCTGATATGATGTTGTCCATGATGGTTTTAAAAGTCATCACATACTGAACAATCACGGCTCCGGCACGACGTTTTTTGGTTTTGAAACATTACGACATAGGATTTAAAGTTCATATTTAAATGACTAGTTAATTATTGGGTTCGAGCCGTACTTGTTACCTTCATACATTCAACTATGAATTTAATTTCGTTTATCTTTTGAGACTTTCAAAAAATACTTATTATACAATAGACTGGAAGCTTTTTTGTCAAGTACACCTGTGACTACGTATGATAATAGCCGTTTCCCTACCTCCACTCAACAGCACGTTTTCTACGCAACACTTGAAGACACGTGCAAAAAGACCTTAACCCACACACAATACGTCATAAAATCAACAATCGACATCTATTCCCTGAAGTTGTTAAGGACCCAACGTGACTAGATTGCCGAATATAGCCGAAGTTTACCGAATTGTTCCGAAGTCTACCCACACAGGGAAATGTAGGACAAGC